GAGGCATCAGTTTTCCAATTCAGTACCAAATTCTGCAACTGTATACCTAGTTCATTAATAGTGTTACAAATTTGGGCCACCCTTTAAGATGCAATAGCACCCACACTCCTGTAATCTGACTAAAGTCTCCTACCTTTGTGGTATTTGACCCTTGTACCATAAGTACTGATTTTAAAAGGGAACAGAAGGATGGCTGTTATTTTTCACAGATAATCAATATCTTTTGCCCATGGACCTCAAACTTCAAGTGGCTATTTGTGCTAGCATTATTGTACTTCCTGATCTCAGTAGGGAAAACATTCTCCTCAAGAACACAACCACTGACAGCTAACAAATGAGCACACATGTCTGAAATCTCACAGTCCCTAGTTGAGCACAAACTGAACCCTACAAACTGATGACAGCCCCTCTTCTCACTGGTACATCTCTTAGTTGACTGAAAATGTCGCCAACTGATAACTGGCTTGAATGGTGAAACCCCCGATTTCAGACTTCCATAGAAAGTAGACAACTCTCAACAGCTTATGGACAGGCTGGGAAGGTGTGCCCACTTGGTCCACAGGTGCAACATGAGAAACCAACTCAAATCATGACTGTGGCCATCCAAGTCAGAACATTGCCCGTACACTGAGCTTTTGACTTGGTGACAACACTGCTACTAACATTGACACAGAATTGAAATTGCTTCCATACCAAATTGAATAAAAAAGTCAAAAGATATACCAAGTAAATGTTTGATATAGCAAGGCCATCAAATATTATTGTACTTATTTAATTTATGCAATTCATCCTCGTGCATCAGTGCAAGGTTAACACTACTCCACATTTATAAATGGTAAACAAGATACCTTCTATCCGATCTCCAGCATCTACAACTTCTTCAGCTCAGTGAAAATTTTACTGGTTATCTTTGTTGGCTTCCTTGTTGCAAAAAAAAAATTTGCTTGACTCTCTATAACCAGTCAATGATCAAAGACTTTCTGGCACAATAGGTGTCTGCTGTTTCGTGGTTACTGAGACAGCCAAATAAATTACTTATTATTTGCAGCCTATGGGGAAATTACAGTAATTTTGAGAAAATGTCCATTTATTCTGGGTTCCCGTCAAAGGGCAATTTTTTCCTCTCTTTCCGCCCTGTTGAATCCTGTCATTATTTTAAATGTCTAAAATTGAGCACATCTCAAAGAAGAACAAACCCAATATATGCAAATTATCATCATAAATTAACCTTTTTATGGGCTGGGAAAGTGGTGAATAGGTCCTGAAATATGTAAAGCAGTAAGAATTAATGTGTATATAATAGCACATTTTATGATCTCAGAACTTCCTGTATTGTTTTACAGCTATTAAACTAGTTTTGCCGTGTACAGGGGGTTCCCAATTTACGAACGTCTGGCTTACAAACACTCATAGTTACAAATACGCTCCCATACAGGGGTTTAATTTTAAAGATCTAACCTATAGACATTTCCTGTACTTATGTGTGGTGACGTTATATTGTCCTGCATTGTGTTCCAACTTGCATTCAAATTGAAATGCAAACGGACTCCAGAATGGAATGCACTTGCAATGTGTGGACTGCCTGTAGTTATTCTCCTGTTGTCGGAAATTGTAGACACAAATTTCTTCAGATCTAGCACTCAGAAACAACAAAGAAGTACATTCTCAAGTCATTTGCTGTTTATTGAAGGATAAATTTTAATTTTTTTGCATTTTCATTGTTCTTTCTTTTTACAGTCCTGGACTCTGGATAGCTCTCTTAGTGAAGAGAATAGAGCTGCTATTGAGAAGATGTTACAGGAGGAAGAGTATCCTTTTTGTTGGCAGTGTTACTGTAGAGATTCATGTCACTGGAGTTAGATATAGCTATGGTGGTAGAAAATCTTTCTCTTTTAATGCAACAGAAGTCCCAGTTTCAGACTTTATCTTTCTTTACTTTGCCTTTATGTTTAATGACTCCTAATCCTGAGAAATTTGAACTGTCTAAACTCAGTATTTCTCCATTTTCTTTACTTTGATTCTTACTTAATTTCATCCCTTCATGTCAACTTTGCATTTCCATGACCATTCTTCTGATCTCAATCTTAGGTATGATCTTAGTATCTTTGAGGTCTGCACCACTGAATTAATTACTTCTGAGCAATTCCCCGTCTCTCTTGTGTCCAAATTTCATTCTTTGGGTTTATCCCATTATCGTCAACCTGCTCTACTGAAAAACTGTCTCCATGACAGTTTTCTTTTTCCTCCATTTCCTGAAGAGATTGATTCCTTGCATATGGTTCCCTAGACACTGCTGTCCAGCATTACTTTACTCAGGTGTTGATTCCTATAATGGAAGTCTGGCCAGTAAGTGTTCTTGTCAATTTCACATAGAGGAGCATTGTAGCCAGGCCCAAATCCGTGCATCCATACTTGCTGAAAAGCAGTCCAAGTGGAGCACTTTCTCTTGCTTAACCTGATTAGTTCATATCCTCTCCCCAATTCTGAATGGGATTGGCCAAATCGCCACAGACCTGTAATTAAACATAGGATCTTCCTACTGAGGCATTAGCAGACTCTTCTTTCTTATTAAGGTAGCTCTATGAAGAATTCACTTATAAAACTGAAGCAAATATTAAAGCTATTCAATGATAAAATGGTTCACGAATACAGCTTGTATGTGATCAAGTTGTAATCTTTTGTACCCTGAAGTAGTATTTCTTCATAGCGTAACTCATTTTTTGTTTATTTTTGTTCCTTAACCACTTGCTAGATACTATCTGACAGGGAAAAAGCATCGACAAAACAGCTGGCCTGATCACCAAGAGAGTGAGAAAATACATGTGAAAAGGTGAATTGTATAGTAAATATATTGTATTATAAATACAAGAGTAAATATTCATCCTCAAAGCGTATAATGTATTACTTTTAAGTGAACTTTAAATTAAATCTGTCTCTTTTAAGTTGCCTAATAAAATGCAATAATACCAGAAAATATATTTGAGTTAATACACATGATGCGTGTAAGGGGATGCCCTGTTTGCTAGTTTGTTAATCCAGAGACCCAGGTAATATTTTGAAGACCGGGGTTCAAATCCTGCCATGGCAGATGGTGGAATTTGAATTCAATAAAAACAATCTGCAATTAAGAGTCTAATAATGACCATGAATCCATTGTTGATTATTTGAAACACCCATCTGGTTCAATAACGTCCTTTAGGGAAGGAAACTACCATCCTTACCTGGTCTGGCCTACATGGTGACTCCAGACATGCAGCACACATGGTGACTCTTAACTGCCCTCTGGACAATTAGAGATGGGCAATAAATGCTGGCTCAGCCAGTCACGCCCTCCTCCTGTGAATGAATAAATACCTATATTTAAGGTTGGTTAAAATTAAATAAAATAAATATAAAATAAAATAAAATAATCCTGTTGGATCAGTGCTTTCATCCACTGGAGAGTTGACCAAAATCTCATCTTCCAAATCAAAACTTCAGATTCATTCTCAGTCCTGTGATAAATTAACTATTCTCAAATGAGTTCTATAATATATAGAATTTATATACTTCAGTCTAGAGAAGCTAGAGTGACTGTGTTTCAGAAGGGAGCATTGCTCAAGGTTAGCTTGTAATGTTTTAAGGTTAAAAATGTGCACAGGATCGAACTTGATTATGAACTTTCTGCAATCAAATAACGTGCTCATATTAACTCTTATCATTTATAATTGAATAATAGTTATTATAGTGAGGTAGTGGAATGTACCCAACACCACAAAAAGCAGTACTTTCAGGCAAGATAGAAGGGAAAGAAAGATGAGATGAAACATGAACTCCAGAACCTATTCTATTGTTTTCACAAATGTATGAATGTTAAGTGTATTACTAGTTAGTATAATTTACATAATGTCAACTAAATTCTTGCTTTGCAGAATGTTGAAACATTCGATGGTTTCTTTATGTATTAATGAAAGGAAAATCTAGAAAATTGGAATAATTATAACACAAAAGGAAGCTATTCCAGCCTATGCCCATGTCAGCTCTCTGCAAGGCAAACTCACTCACTGCTAATCTGCCTTTTCTGTAGCTCAGCAAAGACTTTTTTCTTCAGGTGATTATCAGTCCTCCTCTAAGGCCATTCTAGACCTTAACCAGTCCCAGTGTAAGAAAGTTTTGTCTCATGCTGCTATTGCTCTTTTACCTGTTGCTTTAAATTGGACTCTGATCTTTCTACCAACAGAAACCTACTCTCTCCAGACCCTTGATGGTTTGAACATCTCCTTTTAATCTCTTCACTTCTTCACAGCTTCACTTCTCCAATTTATTCATATGACAGAAGTTCTTTGTCTCTGGAAACCTTCTCAAATCTTTTCTGCAACTTCTCTAAAGCTATCACATTCTCCCTGAAGTCTGATGCCTATGATTGTGCAATTGAGGGTAAAATAATGTTTTATGCAGAATAAAAAGTGAAAAAAATGACGGATGCTATAAATCAGAAACAAAAACAAAAGTTGCTGGAAAAGCTCAGCAGGTCTGGCAGCATCTGTGAAGAGAAATCAGAGTTAACGTTGTGGGTCCGGTGACCATTCCTTAGAACCAGTTCTAATAAACCGGACCCAAAACGTTAACTCTGATTTCTCTTCACAGAATCTGCCAGACCTGTTGAGCTTTTCCAGCAACTTCTGTTTTTGTTAATGTTTTATGCAGGTTTATTTTATCTTCCTTATTTTTGTATTCTGTGCCTCAGGATCTCTATTACCACTTTCTTAACCTGCCCTGCCGCCTTCAGTGATTTGAGCATGTATACCCCAAGGGCTGTGGGCTCCTGAACCCTTTTTAAAATTATACCTTTTATATAGTATTTCCTGTTTTCGTTGTTCCTACCAAAATGATTTATTTATTCATTTACATTGCTTCAATCTGCAATTTTTTTCTTTTATCATTGGTTGTCTTCCCACAAAAAGTGCTACTAGTGCTCTTTGAACTCTGTCTGCTAAGTATTCACTGGAAAAATCCAGTGGTTAACTTTCTTTCTAACCTTGCCAGTTCACAACCCACTTCTGCATTATACTTAATGTCTTCTGAGGGGTGAATCTTAATGTCAATAGAGACCAAAAGCATCGCTGATAAACATGGTGCACTTTGCTAAGGTTTTTGGTCAAGTTGATTCAGTTTAAAAAAAGTACTTTGCTATTGTTGCTAACTGTCAGAACTTGGCTGCAGAAGAGCAGTATAAAACCAGCCACAGGAATGGCCTTGCCTTTGATGTTCGTAGAAAGAGAAATGGTTGAGAGTGAAATCTTTGCACTATAACGTATTACGAGCAGACGTCCATGTTAGATTGTTTTCTGCATTTGTTCTCAAGTGCAATATGCCATTTTGCCAATTTGCTGTGGGGGGAAAAAAAAAGTAATAGAATACAAATATATCTCCTCTGTTATCCTTGTATCCTTTTTAGGCTTTGAGTTTGTTTTTCTGTCAAGCTATTGCATAGGATTCTTTTTAGATTTAAGCTATTGCTGTCAAATTTTTGGTACAGGCATTAACTGAAGTTGCACAATCCAATGACCAACAAATTTAGGACAAGGTACCTTGCAACTTTGAGTTTCAAGTAACACAAATATACACATCCATTCCTCTCCTATTTCTTAATCTATATTCTGTGCTTTCTTCCTGCAGCAGTTGTGGTTTTATGCCCTTCTCCACGTACCTTTCTTGTTATTAGTACCTGGGATTTGGGTATCACTAACTCCACCAGCATTATTACCGATCAGCATAGAAAGTGTTGCTACTGCAGTCCTTGTGGTGTAGGTGTACTCACACCACTGTTAGGAAGAGATTTCCATGATTTTAACCCAGTTATAGTGAGGGTACTGCTGTGTAGCCCTTGGCAGATGTTGCAGGTGGTGATGTTCTCATTTATTTGCTGCCCTTGTCCTTCTAGGTGTTAGCGCCGTGGGTTTAGAAGGTGCTGTCCAATAACATAAGAACATAAGAACTAGGAGCAGGAGTAGGCCATCCGGCCCCTTGAGCCTGCCCCGCTATTTAATAAGATCATGGCTGGTCTTTTTGAGACTCAGCTCCACTTACCTGCCCACTCACCATAACCCTTAATTCCTTTACTGTTCAAAAATTTATCTAGCCTTGCCTTAAAAACATTCAGCGAGGGAGCTTCAACCACTTCACTGGCAGGGAATTCCACAGATTCACAACCCTTTGGGTGAAGAAGTTCCTCCTGACCTCAGTCCTACATCTGCTTCCCTTTATTTTGAGGCGATGCCCTCTAGTCCTAGTTTCACCTGCTCGCGGAAACAACCTCCCTGCCTCCACCTTATCTATTCCCTTCATAATCTTGTATGTTTCTATAAGATCTCCCCTCATTCTTCTGAATTCCAATGAGTATAATCCCAGTCTACTCAGTCTCTCCTCATAATCCAACCCTCTCAACTCTGGAATCAACCGAGTGAATCTCCTCTGCACCTCCTCCAGTGCTAGTATATCTCCTCTCAAGTAAGGAGACCAAAACTGCACACAGTACTCCAGGTGTGGCCTCACCAGGACCCTATACAGCTGCAGCATAGCCTCCCTGTTTTTAAACTCCATCCCTCTAGCAATGGCAGACAAAATTTGCCTTTTTAATTACCTGCTGCACCTGCAATCCTACTTCTAACGATTCATGCACAAGGACACCCAAGTCCCTTTGCACAGCAGCGTGCTGCAATTTTTTACCATTTAAAACATAGTCCATTTTGCTGTTATTCCTACCAAAATGGATGACCTCACACTTATCAACATTGTGCTCCATCTGCCAGACCTTTGCCCACTCACTTAGACTATCTGTATCCCTCTGCAGATTTTCAGTGTCTTCTGCACACTTTGCTCTACCACTCACCTTAGTGTCATCTGCAAATTTTGACACACCACACTTAGTCCCCAACTCTAAATCATCTATGTAAATTGTAAACAATTGCGGTCCCAACACTGATCCCTGAGGCACACCACTAGCCACTGACCGCCAACCAGAAAAACACCCATTTACTCCAACTCTTTGCTTTTTACTGGTCAACCAGTAGATCCTCGATCAGTTGTTGCAGGATCGTCTAAATGGTATGCATCGCTGTCATAAATGCCAGTGAGGGTGGTGGATGGGGGTCAGTAAAATGGGCTGCTCTATCCTGGAATTGTCAAATTTCTTGAGTGTTGTTGGAGCTACTCAAGCCCAGGAGAGAATACCATCCTGACTCCTGAATTTGCCTTGTAGATGGTGGACAGGCTTTGAGTTCTCAGGAAATGAATTACTTCCACAAAATTCCAACATTTTGATCTGCTGTTGTTGCCACAGCACTTACTTGGCTTGTCCAGTTCAGTTTCTAATAAATGGTAATACCAGGATGTTTATAGTGGGGATTTCGGTAATGGTAATGCCGCTGAATATTAAGGGGCGATGGATATTCTTTTGTTGGAGATGGCTGTTGCCTGGCACTTGTGTGTTGAGCATGTTACTTGTGACTTATAAGCCCAAACCGGAATGCTTTTCGGACACATTCTGCTTTAGTATCTGAAGAGTCATGAATGGTACTAGACTCTGTGGTTGGTTTGCTCGCCGAGCTGGTTTGTTGGTTCGCAGACGTTTCATTACCCTGCTGGGTAACATCATCAGTGCAGCCTCCGATGAAGCGCTGTTGTGTTTTACCGCCTGGTATTTAAACTCTGGGGTCTATTGGATTTGATTACCTCATTTCGGTTTTTCTTTCGCAGTGGTGTATATATAGGGTCTAGTTCTATGTGTTTATTGATGGCCTTCTTGGTGGAGAACTAGGCCTCTAGGAATTCCCGTGCTTGTCTCTGTTTGGCCTGTCCGAGGACCCTGGTGTTGTCCCAATCGAACTGGTGGTTCTCCTTATCTGTGTGAATGGAGATGAGTGAGTATTGGTCATGTCTTTTTATTGCTAGTTGGTGTTCATGTACTCTTGTGGCCAATTTTCTTCCTGTCTGTCTACTGTAATGTTTGTCGCAGTCCTTGCATGGAATTTTGTATATTACATTGGTTCTGTCCATAGTTGGTAAGGGGTCTTTGGTTCGAGTTAGCAGTTGATGTAGGGTTGACGTGGGTTTCTGTGCTGTTCCGATGCCCAGTGGTCGTAGGAGTCTTATGGTCAGTTCGGATATGTTCTTGATGCATGGTAGCGTGGTGAGTCTGTTAGTGTGTGCAGTATCTTCCTGTTGTTGTTTGTGTGTTAGATATCGCCGGATCCAGCTGTTCGAGTACCTGTTGTCCTTAAATACACGGTGGGGGTATTATTCTTTTTGACATAGCTCTGTGTAGTCGCTTGTTTAAGTAGTGTTTTCACATAACTTCGTTTGTGGGTGTTGGAGTGGTTACTGTTGCAATTCAGTACTTGGGCAGTGTTTGTGGCTTTCCTGTGTACCTTCGTCAGGAATTCCCCGTCGGTCCTGCATTCTACCATGGCGTCCAGGAATGGGAGTTGTTCATTCTTTTTCTGTTCCCTGGCGAATTTAATGTCGGTGAGAGTGCTGTTTATTAGTTGGTGTGTCTCCTCTAGTTTGGCCCATTTGATGATGATGAAAGTGTCGCCCACGTATTGGATCCATAGTTTGGATCAGACTTGCGGAAGGGCCATGCTTTCGAGTCTCTGCATCACCGCTTCTGCTGTTAGATAGGTGACCCCCATGGGTGTCCCATTGATCTGTTCATAGATTTGGCCATTAAAGGTAAAGTGGGTGGTGAGGCATAGGTCCAGTAACTTCAGCATGTTGTCTGTGGAGATGGTGTCACTCGGGGAATTCCTAGAGGCCTTGTTCTCCACCAAGAAGGCCTTCAATAAACACATAGAACTAGACCCTATATATACACCACTGCGAAGGAAAAACCGAAATGAGGTAATCCAATCCAATGGACCCCAGAGTTTAAATACCAGGCGGGAAAACACGACAGCGCTTCATCAGAGAATGCACTGATAATGTTACCCAATAGGGTAATGAAACGTCTGTGAACTAACGAACCAGCTCGGCGAGTGAACCAACCACAACATCCACAATCCGAGCTACAAATCTACTCAAGAACCTTATGGTACTAGACATTGTATAATCATCAGTGAATATCCCCACCTCTGACCTCATGACGGAAGGATAAAGCAGTTGAAAATGGTTGGGCCTAGGACACTACTTTGAGGAGCTAAGGGTCTCCTGGTGCAGTGGTAGTGACCCACCCTCTGAGCCAGGAGGCCTGGGTTCAAGTCTCATCTGTTCCAGAGGTATGCAACAACATCTCTGCAAAGATTGGTTAGGAAAATAGTGCAGTAGTCAGTGCCTTCAGCCTATCTTGGTTTCAAATGGAGTGAATTGAATTTGTAGAAGGCTGGTGTATGTGAAGCTGGGTTCCCTTAAAGGAGATCGCAGTGGATCATTCACTTGACGTTTCTGACTGAAGATGGTTGTAGATGCTTCAGCCCTGTCCTCTTCACTGAAGTGCTGGGATCACACATCAATGATTCTGGGGATATTTCTGGAGCCTGTTCCTCCTATCAGTTATTTAATTGACCACCACCATTTGCAATTGTGCCAGAACCGCAGAGCTTAGATCTGATTCACTGATTGTGGATCACTTAGCTCTGCGTATTATACGCTATTAATGCTATGTGGCTTATTAGCTCATTGGTAACTTATATGTCAAAAATACATTTGATATTTTATTGAAATTGTTTTCTTTGTTCAAGTTGTTTTATGGGATGAGAGTAAAAGCCTAATTTATGTAAGATTTTAATGCAAGGTTGAAAATGGACTTTGTGACCAATTGTTAAGAAAAATGCTTTTTACAGTACTGATATAGAAAGGCTCAAGTCCTTTTTGTGTGCTAGTAAATCATTTAATTAACACTCGCAACTGGTTTCTGTGATTGAACATTTTCTCCTCAGCAAAAATTGTTCTGTCGCTAGTGTAAATAGTAGAATGTTCAGAATTGTGCACCGGAATGTTTATTAAGAAATTAATCATTGGATGTAGGCAACAGCATCATATGGCCAACATGTTCTGTAAAGGTCACTGTTTAACTAAAGGGGAAAATTCTTGTATGTTCAACTGATGTATGTCACTGAGTGGCAAAACTTGAGTACTTATACAACAACCTTGTAATTAAGATACTGTTAGCAGTTAAATAATTTAAGGGCTGAATAGGAGCTGCTTTATTCTCACCTCTACCAATCTTATATGGATGCATACTTAGTTTAAATACTTCTAGTGGGGTGAAATACTTATGGTTACAGTTTAGGATAAGCATTTATCTAGACAGCAAAATGACAAACTGTCAAAATTTAAAAGCTACATAATAAGTTTGTGGATGTGAACGCTTTGAGTTCCTGATCTAACCTGCGTAACCCATGAAAGGTGCTGACTGAAGACCATCTGCATCAAAAGGAAATAATTTGGAAATACTTTCTTTGACCTCAGCATAGTTGGTTTAAGTGCTTGTGGGATGGGAGGAGGAGACCTATTGAACTATCAGCAGTAACATTTAAGGATTTTGATGTAAAACATATCAACATTTTCAAAAAAAATTGCTATGCAATTGAGTATTATGTACAGATTTGGCCTCTTTATTTAAAATAAAGGACATAAATGCATTATAAGCAATTCAGAGAAAGTTCACTTGTCTGATACCAGGTTCTGGAGACAGGTTATCCTCTAAGGGAAGGTTGGACGGACTGGACTTCCATCCATTGAAATTTAGAGGTGATCTTTTCAGAACCTATATAATGGTGAGAGGATTTGACAGGGTAAATACTGTGAAGATATTTCTACTTATGGGAGTGACTAGAATTAGTTTAAAATTATGGAGTCTTCTACTTAGGACAAGCCTGAGAAAATTTCTTTTTTCCCTCGGAGGATTTGGGTCTTTGAGACTCTTTTCCATAGAGCAGTGGAGGTGAAGTATTTCAAAGTAGAGGTAAATAGATTCTAGACTAACAGGAGAGTCACAGGTTATTGGAGGTAGATTGGGTTGTGGAGCTGAGACCACTTTTAGATCAACAAAAATCTTATTGAATGATGAAGGAGGCTTGAGGAACCAATCAGCCTACTCCTAATTCCTATGTTTATAAGTTTGTAAATGTTGCTTAGTAAAGCAATACTAACTACTTAATCGTGATGGTACTAATTTACAGCTTTGTTTTCTTGCTGAAAATTCTCTTTATTTTCTGTTCTTATGCATTGACCTTTACTCCTATTCTTACCACAGTATTCGTCAGAAGAAAGCTGTGAAAAGCCGGTATGTATAATTTGCTGTACTTAAATATTTATTTAAAAGCTCTGTTTTCTCCAAGGCAAATTGATTTGTCATGTATTTAAAAAAAAATCTGCTGGTTTACTCTGTTAAATATGTTCATTCATATATCTATATTTTTAATAGGAATTTATTTTCTTTATGCAAATTCTGGGTACACTTCAGGAAGACAAAAGGAGCTTTGGTTTCTTTTTATTCATTCACGGGATATGGGCATCACTGGCTAGGCCAGCATTTATTGTCAGTCCCTAATTAACCAGAGGACAGTTAAGGATTAACCACATTGCTGTGGGTCTGAAGTCACACGTAGGCCAGACCAAGTAAGGATAGCAGTTTCCTTCCCTAAAGTATATTAGTGACCAGATAGGTTTTTCAGGCAACTAACAATGGTTTCATGGTCCCCGTTAAACTCTTAATTCCTGATTTTTGAACCTGGTCCCCAGAACACTACCTGGATCTCTAGATTAATAGATTAGTGATGATACTACTGGGCCATCATCTCCCCAGACAGGCACAGAAGAGATTTCCAAGAATTACTCCCAGGATAATTCTGGAGTAGAGAAAACCAAGAGGGAAGATTTGATGTAAATATTTGAAGAGCTTAGATAAATGGATACATGGTGTTTCCAATGGCCGAAGGGTTGATAACTAGAGACTCAAAAGTGATCGGCAAAGGAAGCAGAGGCAACGTTATGAAAAACAATGCAACAAGTGAAGAAGTGGTTAGGATTTGGGGTCTACTGTTGGACTGAGTGGATGCAGATTCACTGGTGGTCCTTCAAAGGAAATTGGATGAGTACTTCAAGAAAAAAAATGAGATGGAGAAAAAGCAAGGAAGTGAAACTAACTGCTTCAGTGCAAAGTTAACAGGTCAAATGACATCCGTCTGTGCTGTGCTATTCTGTGATCCTATATCACTAATTCTCAAGTCCTTACCTTTATAAAATTTTATCCGTGCGTGCAAGTATTTCCACTAAGTGTTCTGTCTCATTTAGAGTCATAGAGACATAGAGCAGAGAAACAGTTCCTTCTGTCCAACTCGTCCATGCTGACCGGATATCCTATATAAATCTAGTCCCATTTGCCAGTATTTGGCCCATATCCCTCTTAAACCCTTCCTATTCATATACCCATCCAGATGCCCTTTAAATGTTGTAATTATACCAGCCTCCACAACTTCCTCTGGCAACTCACTTCCATACACGCAACACCCTCTGCGTGAAAAAGTTGCCCCTTAGGCTCTTTTTATATCTTTTCCCTGTCACCTTAAACCTGTACCCTCTAGTTTTGGACTCACCCACCCTGGGGAAAAGACCTTGCCTATTGACCCTACCTATGCCCCTCTGTAAGGTCACCCCTCAGCCTCTGACACTCTAGGGAAAAAAGCCCCAGCCTATTCAGGCTCTCCCTAAAGCTCAAACCTTCAACCCTAGCAACATTCTTGTAAATCTTTTCTGAACCCTTTCTTGTTTCACAACATCCTTCCTATAGGGGGGAGACCAGAATTGAAGGCAATATTCCAAAAGTGGCCAAACCAATGTCCAGTGCAGCCACAGCATGATCTCCCACCTCCAATACTCAATGCACTGACCAATAAAGGCAAACGTACCAAATGCCTTCTTCATTATCCTTATCTTCTTGAGACTCCACTTTCAAGGAACTATGAAATTGCACTCCAAGGTTTCTTTATTCAGCAACACTCCCCAGAGTGTTACCATTAAGTGAATAAGTCCTGCCCTGATTTGCCTTTCCAAAACACAGCACCTCACGTTCATCTAAATTAATCTCCATCTACTGCTCACTGGCCCATCTAATCAATATTCCCTTGTACCCTGTGGTAACCTTCTTCGCTGTCCACTACACCTCCAATTTTAATGTCATCTGCAAACTTACTGACTATACTTCCTATGTTCACATCCAAATCATTTATATAAATGACAAGAAGCAGTGGACCCAGCCCCGATCCTTGTGGCACACCACTGGCCTCCAGTCTGAAAAGCAACCGTCCACCACTACCCTCTGTCTTCCACCTTTGAGCCAGTCCTGTATCCAAATTGCCAGTTCTCCCTGTATTCCATGTGATCTAAACTTGCTAACCAGTCTACCATGAGGAACCTTATTGAACACCTTACTGAAGTCCATATAGATCACATCCACCGCTCTGCCCTCATCAATCCTCTTTGTCAGTTCTTCAAAGAACTCAATCAAACTAGTGAGACACGAATTACCACGCACAAAGGCATATAGACTATCCTTAATCATAGAACATAGCACCGTACAGCACAGGAACGGGCCCTTCGACCCACATTGTTGTACTGAACACCAAATGAAACTAATCCCTTCTGCCTGCCATTGGTCCATATCCCTCCATTCGTTGCATATTCATGTGCATTTCCAGAGTCCTAACGCGCTCTGTAAAAAAAAAAAAAAATGCCCCTCATGTCTTCTTCAAACTCTTCCTCCTCTAACCTTAAATGCATGCCCACTAGTATTAGACATTATAACTCGGGGAGAGAGATTCTGATTGTCAACCCTATCTATGCATCTCATAATTTTATAGATTTCTATCAAGGCTCCCCTCAGCCTGCACCACTTGAGAAAACAACCTGAGTTTTTCTAGCCTCTAATCCAGGCAGCATCCTGGTGAACCTCTTCTGTACCCTCTCCAAAGCCTCCACATCCTGCTTGTAATGTGGCAACCAGAATTAAACACAATACTCATAAGTGTGGCCTAACCAAAATCTTACAAAGCTGCAACATGACATCCTGACTCTTGTCCTCAATTCCCCGAACAATAAAGGCAAGCATGCCGTACACCTTCATTACCACCCTATCTAGTTGCGTGGCCAATTTCAGGGAGCTATGGACTTTAACCCCAAGATCCTTCTGTACATCAGTGCTGTTCAGGGTCTTGCCATTTTTGCTTAACATTTGATCTCCAAAAGTGCAGCACCTCACACTTACCCGGATTAAACTCCATCTGCCATTTCTCCACCCATATCTGCAACTGATGTATATCCCGCTGTATTCTTTGGCAACCCTCCACACTATCCACAACTCCACTGATCTTTGTATCGTTTGTGAACTTACTGATCCACCCATCTACATTTTCATCCAAGTCATTTATATGCATCGCAAACAGCAGAGGTCCCAATACGGATCCCTGTGTAACACCACTAGTCATGGACCTCTAGCCTGAAAAACAACCTTCCACCACTAACCTCTTGTCTTCTATGGGCAAGCCAATTCTGATTCCACGCAGCCAAATCACCGTGGATCCCATGCATCTTGATCTTCTGGTTGAGCCTACCATGACGGACCTTGTCAGAAGCCTTACTAAAATCCATGTAGACAACATCCACTGCTCTACCCTCGTTGATCACCTTTGTCACCTCCTCGAAAAATTCAACCAAGTTACTAAGACATGACCTGCCCTGCACAAAGCCATGCTGACTGTCCCTAATTAGGCTATGCTTTTCCAAATGTGCGTAAATCCTATCCCTAAGAATTCTCTCCAATATCTTCCCAACCACCAAAGTGAGACTTACGGGTCTGCAGTTTCCTGGATTATCCCTATTTCCCTTCTTGAACACAGGGATAACATTAGCTGCTTACCAGTCCTCTGGGACCTCTCCAGTGACTAGAGAGGATACAAAGATCTCGGTCAAGGCCCCAACAATCTCCTCTCTTGCCTCTCTCAATAACCTGGGGTAGGTACAGGTCCATCCCTTTCCAAATACATATAAATCCTGTCCCTCAGGATTCCCTCCAACAACTTGCCCACCCCCGATGTCAGGCTCACTGGTCTATAGTTCCCTGGTTTTTCCTTACCACCTTTCTTAAATAGTGGCACACGTTAGCCAACGTCCAGTCTTCCAGCACCTCACCTGTGGCTATCAATGACATCTCAGCAAGGGGCCCAGCAATCTCTTCACTTGCTTCCCATAGAGTTCTAGGGTACACCTGATCAGTTGCTGGGGATTTATCCACCTTTATAGGTTTTAAGATATCCAGCATCACCACCTTTGTAATACGGACATTTTTCAAGACGTCGCTATTTATTTCCCCACGTTCTATGTCTTCCATTTCCTTCTCCACAGTAAACACTGATGCAAAATACTCATTTAGTATGTCCCCCATCTCCTGCGGTTCCACATGTAGGTGGCCTTGCTGATCTTTAAGGGGCCCTATTTTCTCCCTAAATACCTTTTTGTCCTTAATGTATTTGTAGAATCTCTTTGAATTCTCCTTAACTCTTCTTATCAAGGCAATTTCATGTCCCGTTTTTGCCGTTGAAGAAAACCTCAATTTCTGTAGTCATCCAGCATTCCCTGCACCTGTCAGTGTTGCCCTTCACCCTAACAGAAGCATACTGTCTCTGGATTCTTGTTATCTCATTTTTGAATGCTTCCAGTTTTCCACTCGTCGCTCTCCTGCGAACATCCACCGCCAATCAACTTTTGAAAGTTCTTGCCTAATACCATCAAAATTGGCCTTGAACTTTAACTTTTAGATCTGGTCAATCCTTTTCCATCACTATTTTAAAACTAATAGAGTTACAGTCACTGGTCCCAAAGCGCTCCCCCACTGAACATCAGTCACCTGCCCTGTCTTATTTTCCAAGAATAGGTCAAGTTTTGCATCTTCCCTGGTGGGTACATCCACGTACTGAATCAGAAAGTTTTCTTGTGCACACTTAACAAATTCCTCTATCCAAGCCCTAAACGCTATTGGCAGACCCAGTCTATGTTTGGAAAACAGAAGTCCCCTACTACAAGCACCCTATCATTCTCACAGATAACTGAGACCTCCTTACAAATTTGTTTCTCAATTTCCCGCTGACTTGTTGAGGGGTCTGTAGTACAATTCCAATACAGTGATCATCCTTTCTTATTTCTCAATTCCACCCAAATAACTTCCCTGGACATATTCCCAGGAATATCCTCTCTAAAAACAGCAGTAATGTTATCCTTAATCAGAAACGC